GAGCTGTCAGCACGGAGCCCGACATGGGGCTCGAACCCACAAACCGTGAGATCATGACCTGAGCCAAAGTCGAGTGCTTAACCGACTGAGCCACCCAGGTGCCACCAAATAAAACTATATATATATTTTTTTAATGCTTATTTTATTTTTGAGAGAGACAGACAGAATGCAAGTGGGTTAGGGGCAGAGAGAGAGGGAGACACAGAATCCGAAGCAGACTCCAGGCTCTGAGCTGTCAGCACAGAGCCCGATATGGGGCTCAAACCCACGAGCTGTGAGATCATGACCTGAGCCGAAGTCAGACACTCAACCAACTGAGCCACCCAGGTGCCCCTAAAACTATATTCTTAACAGCAACTGAGACTTGAGGTCATTTCCAACAGTGACTATTCCTAGGATATATAAGCAAAGCTCCACTGTTATCCCTTGTGGAGGTTTTTGTTTGTTTGTTTATGTTTTGCATAACCTGTGCATATACTTATAAAGAGTCTTTTGAAAACAAAGTTGCTTGTCCTTACTGATCACCTGGGTCAGTGGACCAGTTCTATAAAGTTTCTCTCTTTCCCCATTCCCTTTCCACCTAATGTCTCAGAAAATGGGATGGGAGGTAGTCAGAGATAATTATGGGATATGTATAGATCTCATGTCTTCGTGTTTTTTTCAGATTCCAAGAGCTGGACTTGAGCACAGAAGCCTTTTTCTACTTTGAATCTGTGAAGGAACAAGAGTGGTCCATGGCTGTAGAGAGGGGTTTGCATTCCAAAGCCAAGTATAAGAAAGTAAGCTGCATTTCATTATTAGTATACAACTAAATAGAACTCACTAGAAGTTATTCTGTTATCTATATCTTGTTCCAAAAGAATGGCTTAATTGAATTCTTCTCTGTGTGTAATACTGCAATAGGGCAGAATAGTCCTTTACACCTATTTTCTAAAAATAATTTTTTTCCTAAGCTTTCTGACCCTATATTTTCATTGCTTAGGTAGCTTTTAGGAGAAAAAAAAGAATTTTATTCTCAGAATGATAATTAGCTTATGATAATTACTTACAGAGCAACAGTAAGAGTTTAAGATCAAAATTGTTCACTGACCTGGTCAGAACCAGATACTTTACAGAAAAGCAGTTTGAAGCATGTGGGTGCATAGGGTATGCTGTGGAATCAGGAAGAAGTATTGTGGAATTTAAATGAGTTCTAAACCTTGTAAATCAAAAGTAGAGTTGACTTTAGCAAGGTGGGCTAATTTCTTGGTCTTTGGAAGGCATGTGGTAGAGGCTACCAGAAGAGTTATTTTAATTACATGGTTACCATAGTAACCCCTTTAAAAGGAGTCCTCTGAATATTTTTCATCCACTCCTTCCAACAGTTGATATAGGTAATAAAAATCCTGAAGGTGTTATTCCTCTCACATAGATCCCTGACTAACACATATTTCAGACATATTTCTAGCTCTAGTTTACATACTTAAAAAAGATTGCTATTTTAGAAATTTTAATTTCTTAAGAAATTGGAAATCAGAAACTAGGAAGGAGAGGCAAAAGGAATAAGCTGGGATAGGGGTTTTAGATTTGATTTTTTAATGCTAACTACTCCTGGTAAGTTTAAAAGTGATTAAAATAGATACATAGGTAGGTAGATACATACATACATACATACATACATACATACATACATACATACATCCGTACATACATACATACATCCGTACATACATACATACATACATACGTAGATTTGATTAAAATAATGTATCCTAGAGCTGAGTATACTTGATGGCCCCAAAGATTTTTATCTCCAACTGATCAGAGCTGGATTAGAGTTTCCCCAGAGAAATTTTGTTTCCTTTGTATGAGGTCCACTGGGAAATTAGAGGGTTTGGATTCAGATTTGAACATCATTAATATCTTCTTGGTGGAAAATTAGTTGTGGGATTAGATGTGTGGCAAAGAGTGTATTAACATGAACCTTTTTCTAACTCCCTGGAACTCGTAGGTTCAGCTAGTCCGCCTTGTTGGGATGATGCTCCTCATATTTGCCAGAAAGGACCAGTGGCAATATATCCGTGATGTTGCTACAGAAACAGTTGGAACTGGAATCATGGGGAAAATGGTGAGTTACTTTGGAAATGAGCTTGATTATTATTTATGTCCATGTGAAATTCACCTGCCAGTTCTGTCTTTGTACTAATTGTGAATAATTACTCTTGCTAACAGGGAAACAAAGGTGGGGTAGCTGTGAGATTTGTATTTCACAACACTACCTTTTGCATTGTCAATTCTCACCTGGCTGCGCATGTGGAGGACTTTGAGAGAAGGAACCAAGATTATAAGGACATCTGTGCACGAATGAGTTTTGTGGTCCCAAATCAGACACTCCCACAGCTGAACATCATGAAACATGAGTGAGTGGTTAAATCTCCTTTGTCCTTTGAATAGTGGGGCTGAAACGAGATTAAACTGGTAGGAAACTATGGAACTGTGAAGAGTGAATGAATACTATTTAGGGATTGGAGTTGCAAAGAAGAGCGGGTTTTTGAGGAATTCACTGAGGCAGATTCACTGAGGAGATTCACTGAGACAGAGAAATCAGATTTGCTATCAGAGGTTCTATTAGTGGGCATGTAAGAGTAATGCTGGAGGGGTGTGTCAATTGGAGTCAGTTTTTATTATTTAAAAAATTTTTTTAAGTTTATTTTGAGAGAGTGAGTGAGCATGGGTGGGGGAGGGGTAGAGAGAGAGAGAGAGAGAGAAAGAGAAAGAGACACAGTCTCAAACAGGCTCTGCACTGCCAGTGTGGAGCCTGATGTGGAGTTTGAACCCACAAACCGTGAACTCATGACCTGAATGGAAATCATGAGTCAGGTGCTTAACTGACTGAGTCACCAGGCACCCCTTTATTGTTTTTTATTATAAAATAGAAATGTTTATTATGAATGTAATAAAAGATAAAAGTAGAAATCACTTTGCTGTCCCCTAGCCAGTTTCTATCTTCAAAGGAAAGTGTTATTAATAGTTTGGTGTGTATCCTGGAACTGTGCTGTCCGATGTGATAGCTAGTAGCCATAGGTGGCTATTGGACACTTAAAAGTAGCTAGTCCAAATTGAGATGTATTGTAAGCATAAACTATACACTGGATTTTCAGCGACTTAGTAAGAAAAATGTAAAATATCTCCATTTTTCAATATTGATTACATGTCGAAATGATAATTTGGATATATTGAGTTAAATGAAATATATTGTTAAAGTTATATTCACTTGTTTCTTTTCATTTTTAAATGCAGCTACTAAAAAATTTAAAATTACATCTCTGACATGCATCTTATTTCCTTTGAATAGTGCTGTTCTAGACCTTTCTGTATATACAAACACATGCACACTCATTATAAAGGACTGTATTGTCCTATTGTGGGTCTCATTCCAAGCCAGTGTGTGTATGTATTATATTAATTTATGCATTATATATATATTGTATTATATCTATATTATTTTTTTAATGGCTGTGAATCATTAAGAATTGGGGCACTGGAGATGTAGACAACAATGGATCAACAGGATAATATGAGAAAAGTTTGTGAAGAATGGGACTTAATAAGAATACAAGCAGAAATCAGTTGAGGGATGGACTGGGTAGTACAGAATGATTAGTCTTCAAGAAATTAATATTGGTAATTGAAATTCTGAGAGGGTGGTGTGATTTGGAATAAGTGATTTGAGATGGGAATTAGGAAAACAAAAGATAATTTAACATATTAGGATCAGCACAGAGTAGGGTATTTGGGAAAATAGTAGGGAAGAGTAGTGATATTGGCCTGATTCCATAATGTCTCAATAATTAGGATCCTATAGAATTCTTTTTTTTAAATTTTTTTATGTTTATTTATTTATTTATTTATTTTTCCAACGTTTATTCATTTTTGGGACAGAGAGAGACAGAGCATGAATGGGGGAGGGGCAGAGAGAGAGGGAGACACAGAATCGGAAACAGGCTCCAGGCTCTGAGCCATCAGCCCAGAGCCCGACGCGGGGCTCGAACTCACGGACCGCAAGATCGTGACCTGGATGAAGTCGGACACTTAACCGACTGCGCCAACCCAGGCGCCCCTATGTTTATTTATTTTTGAGAGAGAGGGAGAGACAGAGCGTGAGCAGGAGAGGGGCAGAGAGAGAGGAAGACACAGAATCCGAAGCAGGCTCCAGGCTCTGAGCGTTCAGCACAGAGCCCGACGCGGGGCTCGAACTCACAAACCGCGAGATCATGGCCTGAGCTGAAGTCGGACGCTCAGCTGACTGAGCCACCCAGGTGCCCCGAGGATCCTATAGAATTCTGCTTCATGGTAGTAAAGTCAAGGCCTTGACGTTAATGGTCATGAGGTTGTCCTGAAATGCCTTAAATTTATTTCCTCAGGATTCCAGACATTTCATGTTGCATTTAAGATTGGCAAAGAGACCCATTCAGGACTTGAGATAGCTCACAGGAGAATCCTTTTTATTGTGGTAATTTCTGGGTCTTCCCTGTGGGGGGACTCTCAGCTCATCTAGGGGCCTGTGGCAAGCCAGTCTCCTTCCTGCCTGAGACTTGGACTGTTCATCTGGGGCAGGAGTAGGCAAATTGGCTATGGTGCATAGCTGGTCAGACCACGCAGACCTTAGTTAAGAGTCTGCAGAATGTCAGGGCTCAGAGAGGCAGAAAATGTTCAGATTCTCTTCCCTGGAAGAGGGGCAGGAAGCCAGACAAAATTTTGGAGCTAGTCCAGCAAATAAACTACATGCTTCTTTTAGGCAGTTAACTCCTTAGCTTCTGAATTCCACACATATACTGTATTTCCCTCTCTTTGTTCTTCATGTATGGAGTGCCTATCTTCCCACCAATTTGGTAATCCCTAGTCCTTCTCAGGTGTTGGTAGTACTTGCCCCCAGAGGATAAGTTACAGCTTAAACTCCTTGTGTCAGGTAGTGATAAATGAATCCTTATCAACAATCTACTAGTTTTCTTCTTTCCGTTCTTCTCTGATTGACTTGTTATGGTAATTCTTGGTACTTCTGTTCCTGTATTTCTTGATCTTCAGTGTTGTCATCTGGTTGGGAGATTTGAACTATAGGCTTTGCATGCCTGATGCCAATGAAGTGAAGAGTCTTATAAACAAGAATGACCTTCAGAGACTCTTGAAGTTTGACCAGGTAAGTAAATTTTCGTTTTATGGGTATGTTCCTAGATGGCAGATAAAATTGTTCGGTTTATGAGATATATGTGTGGGAGGTGTGTCTTACTCTAGGAATAGATGGAAAGGTCTCATTGTCTTGGGAAAACAGGGTGACTAGCGATGCAGCGAATGCACACAGGTTTGTAGTGCTTTTATTGAGCACTTGCATAGGAGAAGGGGAGATAAAAAGTAAATATAACATTTGTTCATTGTCTTTATCAAGAAGAGATTTTAGAGATTTATATAAAATAAGTTGGATAATGGGTGGGGTTAATTGGAGACCACTTCCTGGAGGAAGTGGGCCTTCAGCTATGTTGATGCGGTTTGGCAGATGGGACAGGGAATGTTGCTCTATGATTACTTGGCAGTCTTAGAAACAGCATAGAAGTAAAAGAGGGAGCCCCTGTGAGGGGATTGGGAAGAACAGAAGTTTGGGATAAATAGCACAGACTGTGGTCTAATGGGAACTGATTGAGAAGTTGGGCCTGGCTGGCTTATAGATGTTAAAACCTGTGGGAAAAGCATTGATTTGGTAACATTTATATAAAACTTGGTATTCAGGAACCTAGTTTTCTGTAAATTTGCCTTGGAACCTGGCACATGACTTGAATTTTTACTTCAGCTTATGGATACTGGTTGCTAAAAGTGAACACTTCTTATAGAGGGAAGAAAATGTTTCGGCTTGATTTTAATGTCTTTAAATCCTTATGAAAGCCTTTTTGACCTTTAGACATAGTAAAAATGTAGGAGTTTTGCAGTAGAATGTTTTTTTTTTTTTATATATAGTGAGTCTTTTTGGGCTCTTTCTTCATATTGAGGTTGACTGGCTAATTTCTTTGCATTTCTTCCTCTGTCATGTTTCCAAAGGGGGTACAGTTGGAATAAATTCTGAGTCTTATGTAATTCTGGTAGAGTATTTGAGTGAGGATAACTTTCAAAACGATCCATAACTATTCACTGAATTTGGCTTTTGGAATTATCCATTCAACATTTGTGTGCTTTTTTAAAAAATTAAAATTGCGCTAGATGATTCCTGTCCAACTTCAGAGAAAGATTATTCTTATTTCATTTTTCCATTTTACTCAACCACTATTTTTAAAATTAGAAAAAAAAATTTTTAACATTTATTTATTATTGAGAGACAGAGACAGAGCATGAGCATGGGAGGGTTAGAGAGAGGGGGAGACACAGAATCTGAAGCAGGCTCCAGGCTCTGAGCTGTTAGCACAGAGCCTGATGCAGGGCTGGAACTTCCCAATGACAAGATCATGACCTAAGCCGAAGTCAGACACTTAACTGAGCGACCCAGGTGCCCCACCCAACCACTATTAACAATAAAAAATTAGTGATTTGCACATAATGAGCATTCTATCTGTGGGTGAGTTTAGATGTCATGGGAATGGCAAGATTTAATTCATAAGGTACAGAAATTTTATTTATGCACTCTGACAGTTGCAAAAGCAATGAAACTTAATAGTTAGAAATCGTTGATCAACCTGATAATCACCTGTATTAAGATGGTGTTACCCTGCTTATGTGATGCTTTTTTCTATCTCTAGCTAAATATTCAGCGCACACAGAAAAAAGCTTTTGCTGACTTCACTGAAGGAGAAATCAAGTTTATCCCCACTTATAAGTATGACTCTAAAACAGACCGATGGGATTCCAGGTAAAGTGACAAGAACCTTGTCACAGAATAGGTTCAGGCCTGGTATTATTTCTGTCCCTACTGATTGGTGAATGGCTAGGAATTTTTAGGTCATGCCAGATGCAGATATAAAGACCTAATGGTTCAGTGCTGTTACAGAAGAGTTTTTAATGCATGTGTACTCACAGGTGAATTTATCTTAAAGTATTACTTTTGTTGAAATTTTATGGGCTGTCTGCAGTGCCTTATTTCTATCATCTCAACAGACTTGCTGAGATTTTTACCTTTCTGACCCCCTCCCATTTCCTTATCTATTGTCCTGTTCTTATTGTTTTATCCAAATTGTTTCTCAACTCTTCAACTGTGAACACCAGAAATTGAGTCACAAAAGGCTCTTTCCAGCACAATGGTTCTCAGTCCTGATCACACATTAGAATCTATTGGGGGACTTTTAAAAATACTGATGCCTGCAAGCTCACTGCTGTCAGTGCAGAGTTGGCTTCAGATCCTCTGTCCCCTGCCCCCTCTGCCCCTCCCCTGCTCACATGCTCTCTGTCTCTCAAAAGTAAATAAAACATTTAAAAAATACTGATGCCTGGGCCTGACCTCTGCAACTGCCAGAGAAAGCTGAGAACCATTGCCCAGGGGGCCCTTTGATTTCCTGATAATCCCCAGTTAAGTACCTCTGTCAGTATGTTCCTGCTAACTATTTGCCTTCTACCTACTGTCTCTTTGTTCCCTATGGCGTACTAGCTGGCTGAGCCCAGAAGCTTGATTAAACTTCTTTAGACTCAGAGAGCACTAGGATGGGGTGGAGAGGGGTCTGCATTCCTGTGCTCTGAGCGAGCTGGTCAGCAAGTGAAAAGTGACACTCAAAGATCTTGTACACCTCACCTTGTTTCTTCCACTCACCTGACTTGAGAGTCAATTGAAGAGCTACTGATAAGAACTTATGTGTGTCACCTTGTGGCTTAGGTGTACAAGGTGTTACTTATTTTAATTGAATGATGACTAGGCTTTTTCCCTACCCTTGATATTCTATGGGCTGTTATATGTTCAGACTTGCATGCTTAGATGTTAGTTCATCTCTATTTGAAGAAGCTAGTCATGAAAGTCCAGGTTGAAAAGGAGAAATCTCTAGTTATTTCCAGAGATCAAGCCCAGTCTAGGAATATAGCATTGGATTTTTAGATTCTTACCAGTTGTCTATCTGTTGTGAAATGTCATTGCAAAATGTCATAGAGCAAAGTATTCTGAGTATAATCCTGACCTTCTGAGGATATTTTAAGAAGATGCTATTATATTTTCCTCTGGGGCAGTGTTGTTAAAGATGTAATGCTAATTTGGGGAGCACTGTTTATTCATTCATTACATAACTAATCACTGAGCACCTACTTTGCACAAGACACTGTCCTAGGGGTTGGAGATTCAGTGGCAAACAAGCAGACACAGACCCTTTACAGAGTTTGCAGTATAGTAGGGAATATTATAGTTGGGATCATTAGGGAAGGAGAAGCATTTAACAAGACGGCCTAACCCTGGTCTAAACCATTGTGGTAGGTATTACATTCTTGTGTGGTATGTTCCCTTCATAATTCCTTTCTTTATTTGCAGTGGGAAATGTCGGGTTCCAGCCTGGTGTGACCGGATTCTTTGGAGAGGAACAAATGTTAATCAGCTTCATTACCGGAGTCATATGGAACTAAAAACCAGTGACCACAAGCCTGTTAGCGCCCTCTTCCATATTGGGGTAAACACTTGTTTGTTCATTTATTTGTTTGTAGGTTAAGTATATATTCTTAGAGCATCATTTAGCCTCAAAACAGATCAGTAGTTCAGTGAGCCATAAATGTTACCATAACCAAATAATTATTTGCACCTTTGAGAAATTAGTGCCCCCAACCGTCCTAAATGCTGTCCATATGGTTCTTAATGAGCTTGGCCTTTTAGTGACACAGATGTTTCTCATGCTGCAGAGTGTCTGGGTGGTAACCTTAGCCTCCTAAAGTTGTTATTCATAAAGAAGAGTTAGAAGCTAGGTTTTAAAGAGTGAGTAGATAGATAGATAGTAAGGAGGGAAAGGCCTAGGAGAGAGGTTCCAGGTGGAGGGGCTGGGAATAGCAAGAACAAAGGCATAGACTGATCAGCATACAACCAAATCTGTATATTAGCTTAAAAGGCATATTGTCAGCTGTACTATTAGTGAAACTTTCCTGTTCAGGAGCACATGTTTTAAATTTTTCTTTAACTCTGTTGCATCCTAGGCTGGATTAATGGCCAGTTAATTTTTTTTGTCTCTGTTGTGAGTAGTTTTTGCTTTCACATTGTATTTTCTAGCTGTGTGTATACGTAGGTTTTATCTTGGGATCTTGTTGATTTAATTTATTACAGCTAGTACGTTAAAAGAAATTTTTTAATCTTTATTTATTTTTGAGAAAGAGAGAGACAGAGTG